AGTATGAACGCGTCGGCTGCCTTCGGGAGTTCTCGTTCAACATCGGCTAATCGATAGCCTAGCCGTCAGGGAAGCTAGCAACATGCTACGCTTAACGTAGATAGCTACTACGTGGATCTACAATCGTAGCTTACGCTACAGTTATTAACCGACCGAATTGAAAAGTCTACTATCTCGAATACGATCTCGTATTTGTACCGTCGCTGTGAATTGCGTGCTTTAATTGTTTGAGACACCGCTTGTATACAGATGGCAAATAGAAATCAAATTGAATTCTTGCAATAAACACTTCGCAATTAGATAGTGTAACATTGTTCTAAACTTGCGACTATCAAACAATGGGTACAGCACTCGTATTGTAAACTCAAATAATTAATTTTAATTACTAAGTTAAGGCATACGAAGGCTGACGTTTATGATTTATCTAACAGGACAATATTAATGGCGTTACCGTCTGTTGAAATATTGATGAAATATAATAATTAATAGAAGAATAAAGAGTTTAAGGTTTTCTTAATCCTATGCAAGAAGCGTTGCATATATTGACTCTGTATTTTTCCTTCGAATAAGTTAACACGAGTAAAATTTATACACACACACCCACACACCCACACACACACACATACGCAGTCGCTTGTTGTAAATAACATAATTAAAATAAAGATAATCATACACATTTTCTTCGTATGTGAATTCAGATAAGGTTGCTAATTGGTTATAATAAATATCCTTATTTGTACTAAGAATTTAATCGATTTATTTTATAGTATAATTGTTTTACAATTTTCAATGAAATGAAATTAGCGATCCATTTCTTATTACTTAAAAATATTTTCACTACATTCATTTAAGTAATCTTAATTTTTTTTTCGTTTAAATAATGAGAATAAGTAAGGCTTTTTAATTTTTTATTTTATAAGGCTACGACCGAGAATTAAAAACTTTCGTCGTTGTAAAGAAAGCCCTGAAGAAACAAAGCCCCATGTGCTTTATGTTACTTCACATCATAAATGTTTTACAATGTCTTAATTACTTTTTAATATTCTAAGTTTTTAATTTTTTTAATATAAAATTAATATAAGGATTAAAACACTTTCAACATTCAAATTGATACATTAATACTATAACTTTATTGTAAATATATACAAAATAATTTATAACTTCAATTTGTATTTGTTATTCTTCTCAAAGTAGTAATAACCTAATGAAATCTAAGACTTTTGCGAGTATTCATTTAAATGAAACTAATACTTTTAGGATATACTAGTTTTTGCCCGCGACTTCGTCAGCGTTAGTTTCGTCATTAGTAATATATGTATAGCTGACCGGGCGAACTCTATTCCGTTTTAGAGGCCATTAATAATCAGGTTTCTCCTGTTTCAATCAAACAGAATGATTGACATATTAGTTAGTTGTCAAATGTAATGTCAAAGAAAACGTTTGTATGGGAAATAGAAAAGGTCTGTTTTTAGGGTTTTCCCGGAAATGAATCAATTTTTTTCAGCTTTGAAACCTTCCCTGAACATTCACGAACATTTCAAGACTTATATAAGATAAATCCGTTCAGCTGTACTCGAGTTTTAGTGAGACTAAGGAACAGCAATTCATTTTTATATATAGACTACGCGTGGTTTTTTTTTTAAATACTACATAATCCCGACGTTTCGGTTACTTTTCAGCGACCGTGATCACGAGCAGATGAGATATGAAACCTATTTTCTAATGTACCTCATTGTTGAAGAGGATCAATTAAAAGCCTTTTTCAGCATTAAGTTCTCTTGTTTATATAACTCCGGAAAAAATCTGTCAATTTCGAAACATCCGTTACTGTTTTTAAATTAAGTAAGTAGTCAATTAAGTATGTTCCTTGGGACAAGGCTGCAATGTCACACTAAATACGTAGCGTCTCCCGTGCCTGTTTTCGTAGTCTACGTTAAAACTATTAAAAAAATTATGTAGTAAGATTTATGAATGAAAAACGCTCTATATACAGTGTACGATACCAACTTAAACTAAACACGCAGATATGACTCTAGATTTTAATAGTTTCCTTACAAACTTTCATTGTTTTTTTTAACTGAGTATTTAAAATTCAAAAGCTTCAGATTTTCCCGAGTATCCAATAAAACTTATGGACTCTATCAAAAACTTGTTTGAAATCGTAATGAATTGGTACTTATTTTTTTACTGTTGCACATATCTACAATCATAATAAATACATATGTAAATTTGTAAATATTTATCCATTAGGTACTAAGTGAGGGGTTATGTTGTATCAGGTATTTCAATATATAACACAAAGTAAAGTAACAAAGCCCATAATTATCATTAATAAACATAAATAAGTACTATATATAAAATACTTTTTAGTTTTTTCTTGTTATAACACGAATCAAGTCTAGATAATTGACATAAACCAATTTTCACATACAATATTTCTTTTTAGATAAATTCAATAGTATTATATCAATGACTTTTTTATCAATCGCAAGCAATTTTTTCCCAATGCAATTATTAAATGCGATATATGTATATATTATTTACGTTTCTTATTTTAAAGCAATTAAATTTTATAAACTTTCTATGCAAATGATAACAATAGCTAGATAAATAAATATTTCTAACGATTCTGTCTCTTGTCTTTGTACGACATAATAATATGCATTATACTTTCATTATACGAGAGGGTAATTTGCATAGCATAATAAATTTTTATTTTATAGTATTAATAACTGATATTTGTGATGCAAAAATCTGTTGCAAATTAACTTGATCGCATTTTGTCTAAGGTAAATAGAGAGTGGATCACAATCATTGAAATTGTTACAGTATTTAATCTCCAATGCAACTATTTCAAAAATAATGCAATTATTTCAAAGCTAATTATTTCAGTATGGACATAATAGGGCATAAATAAATAACTTATTGAATGTATAAAAACGTGTTGTTTTATTTAATTTCAGTACACTTTCTTGCCTTAAAATAGTTGGTCTTTTAAATATATCTCTTCTTCAGACAGGATGTAGACGAGACAATTTCCTTTAAGAACATTTATTTCCTTAACGATCATCCGCATACAGTAACTCGTGACAAAAAAAATATTTTAGTTTTCTACATGACACAATTTATAGGAATATTTTTTTTTTAATAAAAATTTTAAAAAGTATAAGATGTATTTGTTTAGTGTAACATAACTAGTTTAGTGTAGTATAACTGTTTAAGATATATCGTAAAAGTGACAAGGTCACAATTGCAATTTACAACCAATATATTAACAATACATTTGATTGGTAAATATTAAAAGTTATTTTTGTATATGTATATGTTTAGGCCTCTATGTAACGAGCGTTAATACGCTTACCTCCACCGTCCAAGCTCCTCTCTCTACCCAACCAAATTTTAAAAAAACCTGCCTACTAGGGCTGCCTTCGAAATACGTTCCAAGAATGAATTGATTTTGGTTTTGGACAGGCCTAAGTCCTTAGTACGTTCTTCACTTCTACCGCGTACAAATCCCATACTAACCTATTTCTAGTGAGTTCTTTTGTGAGCTTGTAATACTTATTGACCTTAATGGTATGATCTTTGGGGATGTTGGTTTCCCAAAGAACAACGTGCCAACTTTAAAATCGACGATTAAATAAATATGTCCGGTCTGGAGGCTAACGCATAAATATCCTCTGGTATTTTGTGTTTCTTCTCATATTATATGAGAAGTATATGAGAAGTATAAGGTATATGAGTCATATACCTAGTTATCCGAAAAAGATTAGTTTCATTTAGATACGACTAATACTTTCAAGTGTTTCCGAGAAACGTAGATATGTAAATATATTATTTTAATTAATTATTAGTGGATTTTCTTTTTTGCTACGCTCACAGAATTAAGTAATAAAGCTTTTTGGCAACTAAGTTATAATTAGGGCCCAGATAAATATGTATTAAAAAATCTAAAATATGGAAAAAATATGGAGTATAAAATTAAATACTTTTATAATTAATCATTGTTTTACTATAAGAAAAGGGTCACTCGTGACGTACATCGTTAAGTTACATTTGAAAACCGATGAAAAAAACGTAGCGAAATATTTATTTCAACAAAAAATAACAGTTTTATTCAACTTCCATTACACTATAAAACATAAACTAGCCTTATCAAATTGGTTGCAATACACAATGACGTGCTTCTTTAAATTATCAAAATTAAAATTCTGACGATTTGGTCGACATATAGCCTTATCTGCTGATTGGTTTCATCTCAAGTCACATGACGTGATGGGTGCATACTTAAACATGCTTAATTCAGTAATTGTGTAAGCCATGTCTACAGCCCTCGAAACTTTCGCAAAGACTTTTGTTAATTTTTTTAGCGTATTAAATCCTTTATTTTTATCCAAAACATTAGTGGCGGGAACGTAAATTTTATGTATTTTTGTGAATATATGGATGATTGTGACATTTTCTTGTAAAATATGGACTTAACTTTGAAATATGGAAAAATAAAAAAGTTGATTTTTCACAGTCTAAATATGACAGTCCATGTAAAAAACACATTCTAGACAAAAAATCACGTAAATTAAAAATATGTATTTACATATTAATCCGGGGCCTAGTTATAATATTACAATTTATTTCACTTACATAGAAATTTTGCAATTACGATACTACTAAAAGGGAGACAACATTACCGAATGCAATAAATAACAGAAAATTATATTATTTATATTTACAACAATATTTTACACATAAAACAAATTTACAAGAAAAGATTGTCTTTCGATTAAATATTCAATGTTTAGAAGAACAAACAAAACGCTTTTTCTCTGTTTGAATGACAATTGATAAATGTCTATTATTCAAATCTGTCAAAAAAGAAAATGTCAATACTCACTAAACTGACTTTTCGTCGATTAGGGTGATAGTTGGGAAAATCCTTATATATTTTGCCTTCATTAATTCTCTTATTATTTAAAATAGTTTAGATTGTATCGATTTTCAAAATGAATATGCTAACGTAAGTTTATAATTTGCTTAGGTATTCTATAAAGACTTGTTTTTCACCTCTACAACGCAGTGAATTATTGTTTTTTCGTTTCATTTTAGTGGTTGTGAGTTAGTTCAAAGAGGTACTACAAAAATTGACGCCTCGTTACCTGAGCTTGGTGTTAAGGAGGTGACTCCAAATGGAACTTGGTTGGAGCAAAAACAGATACAGGCAGCTATAGAAGCTAGAAAAAAATTGATCGAAATTCAACGTATCGAAAAAAAGTAAGCTGATTTCGTTATATGAAATACTATGTCCCTTTTATTTGTATTATACAAGATTTCTTATATTGTCTAATTTCAAACTGAAGCCAAGATAATATATAAAGCCCCATTATTAAAGTATTTTTGTCTTAATGCTGTTCTATGTTCATAAGTTTCCACAAAGTGCTTTAAATATTTGTTCCAATTTCTAGTTTTACATGTATCCATATTCCCGATTTATTTTTTAAATTAAAATATATAAATATTTATTCAAGTAGGTAAAAGTATTGAGATAATTATTTATTATTAATAATGCAACTGAAAACAACTTTGTGCTGTTTAGACTAGAAATAATAATACAAAGATAATATTTTTAAGAGAATGCAGCAACAGACAAAGACAAATTATGATATTAGTTAACACTTTATAGTATTTTAGCTCCTACTTTCCAACGGCAACTGTTTTGATTTGTGTTGCTATATAAAATTCTTTAATTTGTTTATACTGTAATCAATATGATTATTGATAGAGGAGCCATGAGTCATGCGGTATGGAAAGATAATTTAAAGCTAGCTGAAGTTACCCATAAAGTGGGCGGTCATTGGCAACACATGGGACACAATGTAGGAAAACAACTTTATATTAGAGCCGAAGAAGCTTTGTTTCTGATGGAACTTGTGAGTAAATTTTTATAAGATTACAAATAATTCTATAATTTTTTTATTTTTTAGTGAAATTTAATATCTTATATTAATTAACTACAATAAAAGTTGATGTAAAATTTATAAAGACAAGTGTTAAGATTTGCTTGTATTGAAACATAATTTTTGTAATAAGATCTTGTAGTTGGCATTACTCTAAAAATATAAAGAAATCTGTTAAAATATATGTTTATAATTAATAAATCTCTACTAATGTTACACATAATTTCATATTTATTTATTGAAATATCATAAACAATTTAATTATTGATATTGTATTGAATATAGTTTTTCCTTTCCAGAATTGCCTATATCTCAAATTCAATGATGTGGTTGTGTCTCTACAACAGGCATATTCTTTGTTTCTTGGACAACTAATATCACATCAACAGTACAAAGTTTATGCATCACTCAGTAGGTTGGGTTACCGTGTATATAAACATGAGACTTTGGAGAAAGAAATTAATAATCCCACTACCAGCAATAATGCTAACAAAGTTAATATTGGTAGCTCGAAAGCAAGTTGTTCCATTGGGAATCCGACTACGGTAAATATTAAATTGGAAAGAATGGATGAATATGAAGATATACAAATCAAACAAGAACCAGATACAGAAGAATATAATGCAGGTAATAAAATAGTATGGCGAATGTTTAGAAGCATTTGTATAACTAGTATTGATCTTGATTTACAAAAAGCTTCAATTCCATTCAGTTTTTTGCTGAACAATTGACATATATAGGTTCTACTGGGTTTTTAACGTTATTATACAGACTTCTTTGCGCTATAGATACTATAACTATAACTATTTGCCATTCCTTTGTTATACATAGAATATTTTATGACTTCATCTATAAAATTTTTGCAAGTTTTTTTATTTCATCATATTGCATATTTACAACATACTGTATATATAATTTTAATATTATGTAAATTATAAATGTTTTTTAATGGATTGTCATAGTAGAATTCTAAATTATTAGTACACAAATACTTCAATATTTTTAATACAAAATCTTTCTTGTGATTTCAATAAAAAAGTTTATTAATTTATAAACACTTTTCTGTGAATATTTTTTTGACGATATTATGTCTGATTATTATTATTAAAAATAAGGCGTTTAGTCATGATTTATTCTTAAGTTAGTGGTCAGAGAGAGTTCATATTTTTAAATCAAAAAATGAATCATTACTTTGCATTAGAATAAAAACATAACTATCAATAAATATTATATCAAAAAATAATCACAAGCACATATTAATATATTCAAGGTTTATTATTATTAATTTAAATAAATTCAAGTCCCTATTCAAGCTAATGTAGCAGTGTAGATCATCTAATTAAATATCTCAAAATGGATTAAAAAAGAACATTAAATTATTATTTTTAATTCAGAATGCTTGTTTTTTAGCTGCGATATTACTTTCACATAGTACTTTTAATAAGGTATAAATGAGCATTCACACTTAAAGACTACTTTAAGTAAAATTATTATATCATTATTTTTTTCTCATATTGTTTGATCACAAATTCTGTAATATATTTCCAGGTGATGTAAACCAAGGTATTTTAAGCGTACCTATAAAGAAAGAATTCCCACAATCCGATAGCGATATGGAAACGAGCGCTTCAAATTCAATACAGGGCAGTAGCCAAGATAAAACAGATAATAATTGCTGCAAAATAAAACTTAAGAATTTGAAAAGCAGAAAGCTTAAACCGTGCAGCGGAAAAGTTTTACACAAGTATTTTAATAACTTACCCGAGCTTATAGGAACATCAACGGTCATTGTTAAGAAACCAAATATTATGTATTTACCTATAAACGTTATATTGAAGAGAGTAGAGTATACTGTCAATTTATTAAACATAAGGGAAAAGGGTGAGAGGACTGATGTATCGGATACGAATATATATAATGAAGGAGACGAGGTTAATGGCAGTCATGTTAGAAGGTTGAGGAGTTCAGCTAGCAGGTCAGATACTGGCGGAACAGAACAATCTAATTTAAGGTTCCCGTCACATAACCCACAGTATCGACCATACAATATGTGGAGGGACCGACACAGCTTCAACTATTTCAACTTCAACATGTTCTTCCAAAGAAACTTCTCCCCACCCTGGTACACAAACTCAAATTGTCAATTCACACCGAGAAACCACGCCTACCCTCGGCCGACACTGAGCTTACACAACCGGATTCAACCCCAAAGCAGGAAGAGACCTAAAAATAACACGCAAAAACAACATTTAGACGGTATTAAAAGACTTAGTGCCAAATTAAAATTACTGCTACAGAACGGAAACATGGACCCGGTGAATATACAGTCGCTGCAAAGACTCATTCATCTATACAACAAGCGGTACAAGGCAAGAATCAGGATAAGTCCGGACTTTGATATCGTTGATGAAAACGTATTGGACACCATCGACCTAGATGATGAAGAACCGGCGGAAAAGAGACGCAGAAATAATGACGACCGAGCGTTCAAAGAAAACCTAGAACAGTTACAACAACTGGCATCTAAACTGAAGGTCTTAGAAGAAAACAAGAAATCATCAGCCAGACACCGAAGAGCTTTATCCAAGCTATTGAAAGTGTTCAACGAATCCTATCAAGAGGAATACTATCTATCAGAAGACCACGAAATAAAAAATCCAAGACATATAACTCTTGATACGTCAGATTCGGAGTCGGATGTATTAATAAACGAAGGTGCTCCGAAACGATCCAAAGGGAAAAAAGTTAAAAACCCATTCAACATATTGAAGAGACTCACGGAAAAACAGAAAGATGGGAACACATCATCCGCGAGCGACGATTGTGATGCACAGGAATGTAAGAAGTATAGTGACGTGTTAGTGAAGACATTTACTAAAGGCTGGCTGCCGAAAGAGGATGATTTTGGTAGGGCTGAAGTTGTTAAGAAGGATTCCATGAACCTAGCATGTAATCACGACGAAAAAGATCTAAGAAGAGAGGAATTCATGTACGACTTCCTTAAAATACAATCCACAAAATCCGACGACTGGTTGAATCTCAAAATATCATTTTACCAGAGTTTCGGTGAGGCCATGGCCGAGTTCCAAGGAAATATGAACGCTTTGAGACAAGCTAGCTCGAATGTTACAGTTAAATCCGAAGATAACTCAATGGCATCTGTCTTAAGAAAACTGACTATCATTAGAAGAGATGACAGCCTCAATGATGAATGCAATCTTAAGATTGATTTCGATGTTTACAACCGAGATGTTCAAAACTTCAGGAAGACTAATCGCCCAACACCACATTTTCGTTTAATTGCCCTCGAGTAAGTATTATTTCTCATACAAATTTCGTCAATTTAATAAAGAACATAAACATAAGAATTTCTACAAAAATAATTAATTATTACCATAATTATAAAGCTAAATTCCGAACTTCAAAATTCTCATATTAGCTTTATTTTTATTATTTTTATTAATGTTTATTTTAATTTTCGCAGTGAATCATCAAACATACCATCAGGAAAGGAAATAGCAACACTGGTATCTAAATACAAGGACGATGTTGCCATCGTATTCGCTGTAGTCGGCATGAATTCCATCGGTTACATACAAATCAAGCCGACAGTGTTGCCAGTTTTCCTTCCAAATGAATCTTAAATATGGGCAAATAAGTTTTCAGGCTTGATTTTAAATTCACGGGTTCTAACCCGGTACAAGTAGTCATTTTTTGATGTGTATTACAACTTAGCCATATGCCTGCATATATAGGCCGTTGAGTTCCTTATTTATTTATAGATTATATAATATGTATTATAATATAATATTTCTAATATATCTGTTTCAATGTTTAAATGTATGATGCATTTCTTTTGAAATATAAGTATACATGTGTGCATTCATAAATTTAAATGACTAAATAGTAACCTTATTACTTGATGATAAAGTTGATTTTTCATTAGCTGTTTAGCTATAAGGTTTATTCTCGATGTATTTCAATAAGTAAATGTGTCAGAATGTGTGTTAGGGAATGAATAAAACAAACATTATTTGATTGTATATTTGTGTTTATAAAAGATGCAGTGTTAGTACCGCACGTTAAATAATAATTAAAGCCTTTCTAAAGCGACTGTGTGTCTTAGGTTTTAGTGCATTTCCTATAGTAAATGATATGATAAATACGTCAATATATGTATACTATTGATTCATTAGCTATAGTCTACAAATATTGTTACTATAGTACATTCAAGATGAGATCATTTTTGATGTTACAATATTTCAATATACTATGTACATATTATGATTCCATAAATTTTCTATCTACTCATTCCCAAAATGATATAATAAAGATTTTTTTTATTATAAATTCTGAGTTTTTGGATGATTTAAAAAGCTATTTTAACTGAAAACAAACAGTTATTTTTGTTTATTACAAAGAACATTGAAAACTTTTTCATCATGCAGTTACAATATATTGCCAACCTAAGTATATAAAAAAATACTAGAATTTAAATTACTTTAAAATATACATAACATATATTACGAATTTAGTTTGAAAATCATAATTTACTATCATTATGTTAAAAAAAACTGTTTTGTAAATATTGATTATTGCACAAAACTAAAAATATGTTTTAATTTTTTTCACCTATTTCAAAATGAAATATAATATTTCTTTTAATGAAATTTTTAATTTAAATATGAAATTTCATGTATATTTTTTATCTTTTCAGAGTTTTTTTAATATGAAATCTGTTATTATTTTGTTACTTTTATTAAGGTATAAAATAAGTGTTTCAAACTATATGTATAAGACTCACTGTATGTGAAAATTTATGTTATTTTAAGATGTCTGTATGTAATATTTAATAAGTTTTGGAGACATCTTAATTAAGTATTGTTCAATTCAAGATGTACTGAGTGTTTACAGTTTTACTAAATGTCTCGACTTAATATACAACTTTTAATACATAAGTGTGTTACAAAAACAATCTTTTCGTGTATTAATAATTATGAATTAATCAATCTGTATGTAGAACAGCGGTGTTTATAGATGTGCTTTCTTATTTTGGATCATTTATAAGCAGTTAGATATGAATGTTTGAAATGTCTCAATGTTTAATCAATATAGATTTGGAAAATGTATAAAAGTCTTGGACATTAAATGTGAAAAAAAAAATATATAAAATATTTTATTTATCAACCATTATATCTTAATGATCAGATATGTACCGAAATAAGCTTAAAACTATGATAATAAAATCATTCATATGGCATAGACAAATTTATCACATCTCTATAGTCTATGGCAATACTAATATTTTATTAGTCTATACTAATATTTACATATTATTTAACTATTGATTTATTCCAATTTACATAACTTTCAGTCGGAATTTTGCTAATATATATATCACCAGCTAAACTAAGTTACTGCCAACCAAAATTTATACCTGATAGTTCATAAAATCTTTCATTATGGGGTCTATAGAATTCTCTTAATCTCTCTAATGCTACCGGATCTATGTAGGGATGATTTCTACCTTTGGTTTTGCCAAGACAGTGTGGAGTTGATCGGCTTTCTGACTTGAGAAGGCATGGGAATCCTTTGGTGGAATTAAAGTAGAAATGTTTCTCTGTTATCACTGGCTTGAGGTTCAGGAATTCCTGTAAATCCATTATAGATAAAACAATGTTTGATTGTTGTTCATTTATTTATAGTATTATATTTTAATCTCATTAAGTGTCAACTAAAGACTGTATATTGAAAATAATAGTGTTAGCATAAATTATGGATTATATTTACTTTCAGTATATTATTTTGAATTTAAATGAAACTAATATTTTGCGGATATACTAGGCGATTTTATTTTTGATAAAAACTACATACTACCGACGTTTCGGTTACTTTACAGCAACCGTCATCACAGAAGATGTTATGTGAAAAAGTAATCGAAATGTCGGGAATATGTAGTTTTTATCAAACAAAGTCGCGTAGTATATAAGCAAAATATAAGTTTAATTTCAATGAATAAGACTAGCTATCTCAGATCTGATTATATTATCGTGAATATTAACAATAGTTCGATTTCTACTAGATATAGAGAATTTCACATCCGTTTATATACATGAGTGTTTCATATTCTTTACCTGAACCCTAGTCATTTCAGCGGCAGGGTCTACCACGAGTCTTTCTCCGCTGATGATGAGTATCCTGGATCTTGGAAACCTTCTCAGCCAACGCCTCAAAGGTCTAGCGTATATCCCCAGTCTTACGGGAGGCCATGTATCCACTACGGAACCCCACGGGCCATCCATCAGCGCCAACTCCTCAAAACGAGGCAGGCTCGGTCTCTTACTTGGGAATCAAGTGATAGGTATGACTTATGATTATATAAATCCTACTAACATTATAACTGCGAAAGTTTGTGAGTGTGTGTGTGTATGTTTGTTACTTCTTCACGCTTAAACGGCTGAACCAATTTTGATAAAATTTTGTATACAGGAAGCTGACGTCCAGGAATAACATATAGGCTACTTTACATCCCGGAAATATCGGAAATCCGCGCGTAACACCGCGGGGTGCATCTAGTATCAATACATATTACTAGCTGACCCGGCAATTATGTTTTGCCATATAAAAATAGGGCTTGGTGATCAAAAAATATTTTTTTTGGGTTGTATGTATTCTTCAATTCTACATTATAAAAAGATAAAAGCGAAAAATTTCGTCTGAAAACAAAAATAATAAGGGTGAAAAACCCTTACGATTTAGTGGTATGAAAAATACATGTTGGCTGATTCTTAGACCTACTCAATATGCTTACAAAATTTCATGAGAATCGGTCAAGCCGTTTCGGAGGAGTACGGGAACGAACATTGTGACAAGAGAATTTTATATAGAAGATTTTACTACATTTTAGTCTAGTATGTTTACGTACGTCACTTTGTCGTAACCGTAATCACGGACCAAAGAGTGAATGGGTCTATCAGTTAGTAGATATTGGTTATTAAGTATGTTGTTGATATACATTAATGTTCGAAGTCCTTTCAAGTCTAACAGACCACAAAAGCTGAGGTGAATTCTAATTAAGACAGGGTTAATCTTTATTGATGTAAAGGTAAGAGTCAGTTATATTGTAATTGTAATTCCCTCCTATGACCTATAATATCGACTCACCTTGCGGATTGAGTGTAGTCACTAATAGCTCTAGTAACGGGATCTCTTACTACTGCCAATAGTTTGACGGCTGGATTCATAGCGAAGACACGTTTAGGAGCTGATCGTGTCACCCAATAAGAAGGCGTTTTCTCCATAGTAATTTGACCCTCGAGAGTCGGTGGCATTCTGTTTCTATAGATTTGATGTCATTTACATTTGACGTTTTAGTGTCATTTAGATTTGATGTCATTTACATTTGATGTCAATTAATAGATGTAATCTGACGTGACATTAAGCGACAATTATAGAACAATTTATTAAGAATAAATATTTCCAATTTCAATGGTAATTTATAGACGAAATTGCAATTTATAATATTGGAAACACAAGTTAAAGAGCGTCTCGAAAGTCAATTCAACTTTTCGAGAGTTTCTTTGAGATCTTATTCTTATCTTTAAGCGTCAAGTGTGCTCAAAACTTCTGCGCTCTTCAACAAGTCAGTAATATAAAAGAATAATTTATGGTTCCCGAAAATATTTCATATAAAATTTTATCATAAATATATATAAAGTGTTTTAGATAAATTAAACACGAATAATGTATACCTGTACCATTCGAATCCCTTATGATAAAATTTGTCGAAAAAATGAACCTCAGACCCAGCAGCCCTTACATCGGGATGCAATCTGAAAATTATATAATTACCAGAAAAAAATACCTCGTCCACTTAATATTTTTTTTAGAAAAAACTTATAAAATATAAAAAATACACTCATTAAAATTGCGTTTAGTAACCTGTTCTTTTGTAATCTGACCATATTTCAATACTACCGCAATGCAGCGGCTTTTTTATCATAACGCATGCAAACTTATTTGTGCAACTTACGCTACAAAATTTAAGATTCATATACATTTTCTCTTGAATGAGTTCGTTTGTATGACAACAACAATTACTTTCAGAACTTATCTTAATCAAATATGAAATTTTATTATTTTACCTTAAAAACTCCAATAGCGCTCTCGTTCCACATTTCTTAACACCTATAATCAAGGCATCCGGCAGTCTCTTCGTTGGAACCAGGTTTGGTTTCCTTAATGTCATATACTTGTCCTTAAAATTATATCCCAGAAGCGCGGCAAAACGACGTGTTACATAGTTGTAGTTAGAAACATGACGCTTCAATGTTAGATATTTGAATGTAAACTGTAATACGTAATAACATATGTTACATGAACTGTCTCACAAACATGATATATTAAACAATTGTTAATTCACAAATTATTAAATATCAAACGCGAACTAAATTTCTTGGAAAAAGTTTAACATTACGATGTTTAAATATTATATTATTAATTATTAGTTAAGAGCTGAAAAGTTAGACTTACCATGTTTTCGTCAACTGAAAAAGTATTCAAAACATAAAATAAATATAATAGAAATAACAATATGAAATAAATAAATATAGTTCGCTTCGAAACTGCCGATATCCATTTCATTTCTGGTTTCGGAATGCATTTGAATTAATAAATATATTTCGTAAACCTATAACGCTTCAAATACTCTGATACATCATGTATAAATAGATACGTTTTATCTTTATAACAAAATAATCTAAAAACACGAAACTTTCATATGTCTTCTTGAAAACATTGTCAGTACACAACCACGCGGTTCGGTTTAATAAAGAATTCCACTGCACATCTGATCCGCATTAATAAACGCACTGCGCAACCGCGGAAGAGAGCAAGAGAAAATCGGAATAGCTTGACATGTTATGTGTAGGTGGCAATGATAGACCAGGTTAAACATTCGCGCCAAATATAGGCGAAGATTGCGACATTGCGCGCGCATTTTTTCATTTTCCAGATTTGAATTATGCATCTATTTATATATTATTCATACAATCGAATACACGCTAAACATATATTTAAATGTCTGAAGTCAATATACATGATTATGCATTTTTAATTTGATAAAACATATTTGTATACTTTGAAACGAGGACAAAAGATGAATAGAGTGTATTAATTGTAACTTGTTTAATTAAAGAAATAAAATGTACTCGTTACCGAGCACTTTTGTTTTCAGTGTATCCAATTTCTCTACCAACATAATGAACAAAGACAACCGCCAAAGTGACAGGTATAAGGCAACTAAAAAAAGAAATTTTGTTGTGTTGATCTTTGGGGCCGTGAAATAAATTAAAATGACAGTCCAACAACTGAACTCGAATATTTCTGACGACTCAGATGATATGGTTAGTTTACCATCGGAAGAAGAAATTTATAGACGAAAATATCAGTTGTTGCTGGAGCGATGTGAAGTGTTGCAGCAGGATAATGAACGAATTGTGAATAGGTTTGTGTATTGTTGTGTTATTTATCGTGTACTGAGTTCTCGAGCGAAATAGATATAAATTTCGTTCCAGGATACATGAAGTGAAGAAAATAACCAAACGATATAAAAAAGATATAAAATTGTTAGTCGAAAGGCTCGATAAACATGGAGACCCCTTTAGAACGGCTTCAGTAGAAGTCGAGGTGAAACCAAAAGTTCCAGTAAGACCTCCTCGTGTCGGTGCTAAAACACAGACCCAATCAAAACAGGTTGACAAACAAAATGCCAGTGGAGGAAAAAAACCAGCACCAAAAAGGAAAAGTAAAGCAGATAAGGTATTATTAAATTTTATGTATTCTCTTAGCTGTATTTACATTAAGGATACTGATTCTACTTGAAGGATAACCAAAAATTAAATCAGTAAACTATCAACTAAAACTCATTAAAAAAATAAATGTATCATTCCAACACACTTGTACAAGAAAGTTAATCATATTTATAAATTCTTGTCAGTATTTCTAGTAACTCTGGTATTACATAAGATGTATATTTATAAATTAAATGTCCTTGTCATGTATTGCAGCCTGAAAGAGATCCAAATGCACCGAAGAAGCCATGCAATGCATTTTTCCAGTTTTGTCAGGAACAAAGGCCAGTAGTTGTAGCAGAAACTGCCACAGATGTAGGATCGGAGCCAACTAAACAAGAAATTACCAGACAACTTGCATCAAGGTGGAGGGCATTGACTAGTGATGAAAAACGGGTAATTATACTCTTAAAAAATTTACAAATAAGCCCTTGATGAATGGCATTTGATCTCTAAATTAACACATTATATATATTCTAGTAAAATCCTACTTAACTATTAATTTTATTAGAGAATGTCTTTATGATAGGTATCAAAGATTTGAGATATAGAATAATTTTTTTAATAACATTTTATTAGCGTCATTTCCAATTTAAGTGCTAATATACAGGGTGACTGGTGAATTACTATCGATATTTGAGGACGTGATATTTGACGATCATATATGACAAAATAAAAATTAATATAACATAAATATTAATAAACTTCTTAGTAAAGTTAACCAAAAGTTATGTAATTAATTACGCATCGTATGAACACCCTACAGATTAGGTATACACACACTCACACAGACGCGGCGGCGGCGTAGTGTTGTATAAGCACGCCGCCGCACGCGTCCACACTTAGAACACTTGGAACGTGTACACACTTTATTTATTTATACGGAAATTTGGTCAAAAATTAAGTACCTATTTTTTTTACATAATTCGAATGAGAATCATGTACCGAGTATGCTCCTTAAATATTGATAGTAATTCACCAGTCACCCTGTATACATACTCAGGCTGTGTTGATATTAAAACAGAAAAAAAGTATTACATTTACCCATTGAATTGTCTATACTTATGTTTTAATAGTGATATAAACAAATTTTTAGCATTGTAATGAATTCAAAATATCACAATAACTATTTTGAAATAATTATGAGACATATATTATTGATTTTACCATTGAAATATGAAGAATTCACAATTTGATATATACTTTATCTTACAGGTATATGTTGCAATGTTTGAAAGATCAAAGGAGAAGTATGCAGAAGAAATGTCGGCGTACATCAAGAAAGAGCAATAGCAGGACTTATAACACTATAGCAGAATATTTCCTTTGTGATCACTAGCTTTAATGTTAAGTTATATTATATGTCTTTTTTATTATCTGTTATTTTATTTATGTAAAAAAAAACTTATAAAAAAATATATTTTTAATAACAAAATTAAGTAATGAAGTGAAAAAAATAAAATTAGTCAACTGGGGCCCTGAAGTTGTCTTTTTCGAGTCGAATAGCCTTCATAGTTTCTATAGGATCATTTTTATTAGCATGCTTCATAACAGATGTTACATTGACTCTCATGAAGGGATTGTATAGCTTTTCCTCAGAAATTGTTGATGGCACCTGTGAAAAAAATATAGCAATTTTTTATAGGAACAATTAATTAGCTAGTTAGATTCATCTACTAATATCTAAATACCGTTGGTTTTTCTTCCTTTCTGACAGAGTTGGCCCACTGTATTTTTTTCTTTATATCTTCATTGTCTGGTTCAACATGTTCACCAAATTTCAAGTTTCCAATGGAATACTCATGGCCGCAAAACACTTTGGTATGATCTGGTAAGTTACCGAGGATCTCATTCAGAGCTTTGTGCATCTGTTCTGCTGTGCCTTCAAAGAATCTTCCACAACCACCCAAAAATAGTGTATCTCCTAGAATATTTACCACATATGAAGAGCAATCAAAATAGATAAGTCTAAAGATGACAAAATTATGAAATTATATAATTATCAAGCATCCAAAAATGGGATTTTTAATAAATATAATGAGCAAATATACAAATGACAAGCATAATAAGTATAAAGCAAAAAGTTTATAAATCACACCTGTAAAAACAGCGGTTTCATTAGCATTAGGTACTGTAACATAATAGCATATGTGGCCCGATGTGTGGCAAGGGGTAAACAAACATTTGACATTCAGCTTGCCGATGTTGAACTCTGTGTTGTGACCAACTTTGTCTGTCATAGCTCCGATACGATCATCGCCACCCAGAACTTTTAAGCCAGGATGCATTTTCACCAAGTCCTCGTTTCCACCAGCATGGTCCCTGGAATAATTTGTTTATATTGTCCAATTAATAATTAATTTTCCTGAATTTAATATTGTTTATAAACTAGTTTGGTTATACAGTAATTTCTTATAAAATAGATCCTTTAAAAAAATAATATATTCAGAATTTAAGTTTAATAGCTCATAATAATTTCAATGTAAGTGCCTATAAATGATGAGATGAAGCATTAAGATAATATTTTTCTTATATGTTAATATTACAATATTTATACTTATAAGTAAAGAATGTTATGTAAATATATGCATTATGTTTGTTATCTGTCTTTACTGATAATACCCCTAGAGATTTATAAACATTAAGTAAGGTAGGTATTTTAATAAATATACCTAATAATAAGAAAATTTTATGTAACTTTTTATGAGTACACATTGAAATAAAGTAATATTTTTTGCAATTAACTCATGATGATATCTTTGAAACACTATATGAAAACACTATTTAAAATGTGTGTTAAATCAGAAAAGACTGAAACGAAACTTCTTAGCATTCAATGGATTCTTGATGGTGCCCGGGACATCAAAACTTGGCCCTGTTCGCATTAAAAAAAAATAAAAATAAGGAAATATTAAAAATTGATATTTACCAGTGGTGATGTGTTGTTAACACAGTTGTTAAGTTGACTCCAATCTCATTAACAGCCTGTAAAACTGTGTTGGGTTCCACTGGATCAACAACAGCGGCTTCTTTTGTTGCTTTATCCACTATCAAGTACATATAGTTATCCTGAAGAGCTGGTAGAATCTTAATATCCATGGCTTTGTACTCAATGCTAGTGGGTTCAGAGTGCAAACCGACTTGTTTCCAAGATAACGCTATAAATTGTCAATGTAATAAGAAATAAAAATATTAGTTACTACCAATATTCTAAAACTACTCACCTCTAAAATAAAGCTTGGTTAGTCGCTGTGATAGCGCAAATGGCAATGAATTTACAAATCTAGCAAGCATTGAATATATTATAATATGAAATTGTATTTAAAACTGAATGAGTAATGAGAAATGTGCGGGAAGGTTGCAACCAAACTCAGGAGTTACCGTTTTCTATTTCAGATTCGGGAAAGTTAAATTGGTATATTTATATTTAATGTAAATAAAAAACTTCAGCTCTAGAACAATAGCATAAAAGTATTCTAATCTTTATTATGAATTTCTGACATTAAATAATGAAGTATGTTAGGAATTCAGGTGTACAAAAAATAAGTTTACATAACATAATGAAATAAACGTTATTTATATATAAAAGGTTTATTCATAAAACTGAAAACATTTTATAAGTACATTCATTGAATTATTTTATTTTCTTTATATTTCTCTGTCATGGTACAATATATTTGCAAACTTTAAATTTCTAAACTACAATGAAACTGTCCAATTGTCAAAAAAAGGCATTTGTTTATAAATGTCATATAAGTCTAAAACTGTCAAACACACGTGTTTACATATCTCCACATAGTATTGAGTACTGTTCCGTCGTTAGAATATTTTATATCAATAACTAAAATATTATGGTTGAGATAGATTAGTCAAATAATAAGCGTGACAATGAAGAGCAAACCAGTAAAACATAAAACAACAAACACTTTTCGTGTAAGTCTGAAGAATCCTCTTTTAAGGTTAATGTTTCTTTAGTTTCTTTTGAAAACATTTACATATAACAATATTTAACTTTATTTTTAGTTTATCCCCTTCGCTGAACGTATAAATACTATAGATATACGTCATGCGGCTTTATATCACATCGAGCATGTAAACGCGAGCCAGCCAGGGGAAAATGACACTCATTTTCATCTCGCCTTACAAAAATGGCATGGACTTAATCTGACAGAGAATTTCAAAAAATTTAAAAAGGACGTGTATGGTGTGGTCACAGTTGCTCAGTTGATTCATAAAAAGGATGAGGTGTTGGAGATCTTGGAAAGATATTTAAAAAAAGAAGATCCATTATGTCAACAGCCATTGTTAGAGTAAGTATCATATAATAAAAATTATTAAGTAAATCATTAGAAGAATAATAATATTATTGTTTGTTTTAGAATTTTAGTCTCCCTAGCCAAGGACTTAAGAAGTGATTTCTATCCACACTTCCCTAAATTCTTAGATATTTTAATCACATTACTAAAAACCAAAGACGCTGAGAGGCTAGAATGGACCTTGATTTGTTTGGCATTTCTGTTCAAAACCTTGAAGACTTACCTGAAAAAAGATATTGGGATTGTAATGACAAGGATTATACCTTTGTTAAGTGAGAGTTACCCACAATATATAAATAATTTTGCAGCAGAGAGTTTTGCATTTGTAGCAAGAGATATAAGAGACAAGAAGAAATTTATTGAACTCCTATTAAATTATTTGCAAACTAATACTGATGTAAGTCCTTATATTTTTATAATAAATCTAATATGTCTCATATAGTTTCAAAATTTAATGTACACCTTTTTCAGGCTATTGTCGGCTGTGGTCATTTATTGTTTGAAATAATAAGGGGTGTTGGAAATAAATTTCATAGCTGTATTGAGAATTTTTTGCCTCTTCTATTGGAACACATGAAAGAAAGGAAAGAACACCAAGAAATTTTATTTAATGTACTAACACAAACATTCGAGGACTGCTTACAGAATATATCAACAAAAGAATTCACAATTTTCTGGTCAAACATACAAAGTTTTATGGAAGAAATTTTAAAGTTAGACGATGATAGTACTGGGTTGGAATATATTCTAAGATTGGCTGGCCAAGTGATTGAACGCCAGAATGGAAAGTACTTGACCAATCCTCCACAGTTTGCTTTGCTCCTAGTCAAAGTTATCTGCAATCAATCATCGGAGAAAGTTCTAGAAGTTTGTTCACAAATCGGTGCCTTAATGTTGCTCTCCTCAAATATATCTCTCTCACAAGAACATGCCGGAATCATAGTTAAAGTGCTGCTACCATTGCCATATCCGAAAATACTAATTAACTTTGTGCAAAATGTTATCAATTATTCACAATTCGACATGCATATATTGCCATCCTACATCAACTTTGTTTTTCAATCTGAATTTGACATTGATGCTATGGCAACACTTTCGAAAATATGTTTGACTAAGTCTCCATTATCTATTAATGGTATGAAATTATTTGAATGGGTAAAATATCCGCTTGATTTTGGTCAAGGACTGCCCAAGTTGATGGATCATGTGGTTAATATTTTGACAGATGATATTGAAAAGATTTTGGAGGATCCCAAGAAATTGTTAAATTTACTTTTCTGCTTGCCTCATGTAGAAAAAGTTGATGTCGAAAAGTGCACCAAATTACTGAGTGATCTTATAACAAAACTATTGAATGTCCTATCTAGTTATAACTTGGAAACTCAAATAGAAGAGAACAAATGTAATTCTGATAATACGGCTCTATCAAAATGTGCCAGAAAAGTTATATTTCTATTAGCTAACACAGTAGAATGTGTAATTCACGTGTCTAACTGTAAAGGTCTTAAAGAAATTTGTAATATTGATACATTACTACCAATTTTATTGCCATGTGCGACAGATCCAAATTACTTAGCTTCTTTACATTTAGTTGATCTGTACTTGACTGCATTTGAACATGAAAATGGATTGACCTATCCTTTTCTATTATTAGTGGATTCATATTTGAGATCAAATATTTCGTCGCCTTTTCACATCGTAAGTATTTATTCAATAAAAATGTCTTTTGTGCTATCTCCTATACAATAATTTCAAAATATGTACCATATTCTTGTTTTGTCATGATTTTTGTCCAAATATTAACAATATATCATAAAGGAAATTAATTCTATATTGACTTATTCAAATTTCTTTTTCAGGTGCGTCTGCTGACAACTCATATTTATAAATTATTCGAAAATCTCGAAGAGTTGAATAAAACAGCCATCATTGGCGGAGAAACGGAGAGATTTTCTATCTTTACGAAATGCTACACAGTTGAATCAATTACACCCTCCATTCAAGAGTATAGAGTACAAATAAGTTTACTCCAGAAAATGGCTTTTAATACAACACAATACGAATTGGCCAAACAAACTAATTTCCATCTTTACCCGTTAAATTACATGTTGGGTGTTTTATATTTCAATTTCAAATTGCTTTGGGAGCCAGTTATCGAGTTTATCGCTGGTTACGGCAATTCATTGAATGCGGACGACTTCTGGCCTACATTTTATAAAGCATTAGAATCGTCATTCGCTAATGTTAAATGTAACCTTAAAGCATTTCAATATGACGACTTGGAAACGGATTGTAACGTTTTGAGTGAACTTTATTCTGAATACAGTTGCATATCCGAGAGACCGGATTTGTTTAATTATAGACATTTAATTCTTAAAACTATGACAAATTGTATACAAGTATGTGAAGTGAAGAACAGAGACGTTGTAAATCTATTCCTTAAGTTTATTGAAGAAGAATATAAAAGAAACGATCGGACTAATGCTTTGATAATAGATATTGAAGTTCACGATAAACAAATGGAGACAGATGAAGTAAAAGACTCCGAAGAAGATGGTAATGAATTAGAAGCTATTGATTTACCAGAAGAAAACGCTAAAGATAGTATATCAGGGAAGATTATATTTAAAACACTCATAAATATAATGCAAGTGCTATCACAGTTTAAAAATCCACGCGCCTTACATAAAGAACCGGTGTTCGCGGAATTATATTTGGAATTTTTGAAAAATAAGAATCCAGGTTTACAGAAGTACGCTCTAGATTGTATTTTAAATTATAAGAATAAAAGTGTGGTTCCGTATAAGACAAACTTACATAATCTGATCGATGAGAATAAGTTCAAAGATGAATTAACTCAGTTCAAGATAACAGATGGTTCACCGGCGATACAAGCAGAGCATAGAGAACACGTGATACCATTGATACTGAGAATACTCTATGGGAAAATGACCTCCAAATTAGGAGCTGACAAGAAAGGCGGGGGACAAGCGAGGCGATCCCTTATAATGAGATACATAAGCGGTTGCAACGAAACCGAATTGAAAATATTCATAGAAATGGCCTTCTCTTATTTACACGAATATTTGAAAATGGAACCGAAAGAAATATATGAGAATATTCAAAGAAATCTCGATCTAAAATCTGTTACCAGTCCCGGAAAGTTACATAGCATATTAAATTTGTTCGACGTCGTTCGAGAATACTTCGGTGGTTATATGAACGATGAACTATTAACGTATTTTCTTAAGATATTTTACGCTGTTTCTTCAAATATAGCTAGTGTACTCGTTAATGTGGAGAAAGTGCATGTAAGTTATGTAAAAGTTATGAAAAATCTTCGAACTCTATCCATAATAATCTTGGGAAAATTATTCGATCAGTTCGAGAAGTATCCTTGGAAGAGAGACGAAATATATGTTTTATTTCAAACTTTAATATGGCCTCTAGTACCTCGTCTTCAAATTGAAGGTATTCATAGTCCAACAGCGCTATTGAAACTTTTCAATATCTGGTGTCAGAATCCAAGATACTATATATTATTGATCACATGTTCTGAGGAAGATAATGAATTAAGTGCGCTTCCAGCTATATTCAAACTTTTATTAGCGCCGAAAACTAGTCCTGGAGTGGTAAATATGATTTTGGACATGATCGAGAAACTCCTTACTTTGACCAACGAAGATGAAAACGAAGTTACTGAAATAGAAACGTTCTCTTCATTACCAGTAAGCGGGAACGTAAAAAATGACATTAATTTCGGCAGCAAAATTCTGTTACCACATTTACCAAGTATTTTAGAAGTTATGAAGCGGCGTATCGCGAACTCTGCTAAATCAAATACTGTGAACAGAAGGGATCTCTTAATTCTATCGAGAGTGACAGAAATGGTGACCACACCTGAAATGTGCGACGAACTTTTGGGCCTCCTGTTGCCAATTTTAGTGAAAAAAGTATGCATGAATATGGCAGAAGAGA